AGCCAGGCAAACACCTGGGCACAAACAGATCCCCCCTGATACCTCCAGCTCAAATACACCCCAACCAGGCACCCAGATGAAACCCAGCTTCCTAACTAATGATAGCTGTCCATTTACTTGGAGACGAACACAATACAGAAGCCTGATGATGGCAGATGAGATTCTGCCAAAACGTTGCTACAACTTTAAAAGCACAACTACAATGACGTGGGAAAATACCCGAACAAAGCTGAATACCATACATGTAAGTACCCGAGAAAACATATATACACACACACACACACTTAATGTCATTTTACATCTGTGGTTTTTATATGTGGTTTTACCCATTTGTTATGTGCCACCCAGAGTTGCCTCCAATAGATGCGTAACTATATAAATTTGATAAATATATATCCATAAATTTGATTATAAATAAATGCAGAAAGGGGAAGGGGTTTTGGAATTCTCAGCCCTCTGCAGGCTTGTTAAAACATTGCAGGGCTGTGGGGAAAACATATCTGAGAAAATTCTGCAAGCCTTTCAGAAGGAGGGGGCAGAAAAGTGGGAAAAATCAGAATCTCCAAGAAAAATGTACAGTACAAACAATCCTGCATTTGAGTGGGCACTCCCTATAGTTCACACGTCATAGATGTGGTGCATTCACTCTTCAAAGCATTACATCTGTGCAGATTCTGCATAGATAATAAGGTCTCTTCTCAACCAGTTATGAAAAATGAGAAGCAGTGAGGCTTTCAATTAAAATACAAACAGCTGTATTTTCCAGCTGCAGAAGAGAAGCGTGGGGAAAATCCTCACCCTCAGATTTCAACCTTCACGTCCCTGCAGCATACAAATAAGCATCTCCATGGACTGGCGTGGCGAGCAAGGCGGCCACCCACCAGCCCCACGCTAAGAAAATAATAATCGACTATTCATGAGGAAAACCGGATTTTCTCCCTCGCCTTCTTCAAGCTAAATCAGCTTTAAATAATTTAATTTAAATAATTAAGCATTAAATAGACACCAAATTAGAGGACGGAAAACAGAGGTGAGAGATGCAAACAAGATCCAGCAGGGAAGATCTCTAGGCGATCGCCACGGCAGGCTTTGGGCAGGGGGAAAATCAGTCGAAGAGGGGGCAGCGCGGGCTGGGGAGAGGGCTGCAAAAAGGAGGTGAAAAGCCCAGCAGGCGCCACCAAAGACGGTCCTCAGCTCCCCGGAGAGGGAGGCTGCGTGCGCGATGGACAGCCGCTGGAACAAGCCGCCCTCATCACAACCCAAACCTCCCTGGAAAATCCGCCGTGCATCCGCCGGTGTCTTCCTCGAGATGCCCAAGCCGCAGAGCCGACTCTGAGCGTCTTCTTACTCCATTCCCAACGATTTGCTTCCAGCCAATGCCCGCAATTGCAGCAAGAGAACTGCACCGCAGCAGCAGCAGCACCGCCGCATTTTCGGTGCCGCAACGCAATGCAACGCTCCGAGCAAGCAAAGCACCAAATACAACAAAACAGCCATGCAGCACTATTCTGCAGGATTCCCGGGCGAGCGCGCGAGCCTAATATAGCGATGGCGGCGCGCGCACGCGAGAGAGAGAGAGAGAGAGAGAGAGAGAGAGAGAGAACGAGAGAGAGAGAGAGCGGTGGGCAGCCAATGAAAAGAGGCGCGCGCTCCCCCGAGCGCCCCCCTCCCCAACTCGCGAAATGGACGCCGAAGGCCCGCCTTTCCTATTGAACCAATCAGAGAAGCGGAGCGAGCGAGCGCCCGGGCCGACTTCCCGGGGCGCGGGACCGCCCCTCAGGGTGCGCGCGACGGGCCCAGAAGGGGGTGTGTCAGGGAACCCGGGAGAAGAAGTAAAGCGGGGCGGGTGGGGGGAGGGAGCCCGATAATGGCGGCCAGGAGGAGAGAGCTCCGCGGCAGCTCTGAGGTAAAAAATAAACATTGAAAGCGACGCTCGGCCGCGTTCGGGAAGCCGGGAGGCGCCGGGGCGGCGAGGAACGCCTCTTGACAGGCCCGGGGAGCATGGCGGGCAGCTGGTGCGCGCCCCTGTCTTGGGCCTGTGGAGGAGGCTGCAGCGAGCGGCCTGACCCTTGGGCGACTGTGTCGTCGGGCCCTGGCGCTGCGGGCGAGGCTGCCGCTGTCACGGCCGCCTGCTTTCCCCCCACGGCAGGCGGGGGTGGCTGTGGGCGGCCGTCCGTCCGTCCGTGTCCAGATACGAAAGCGGCCGCCGCGGCTGTCAAACCCCGGCCCGTCCGCGCATAGCATGACGCCGGGCTGCCGAGTCCCGTGCAGCGGTGGAGAAGGAGGCCGGCCGGGGACGCTCTTCGCGGCTGCAGCCGGTCAAGCGCTTGGCGGCCGAGGGCGAGCTCGGGGCCCGCGGTCGACGGTGGGTAGACTGCCGGGTTGGGGTCTTTAAAAGTGGTGTTGTCTTGTCCTGAGCCGGAAGGATTCCTCCCAGCTGAGAGGTCTGACAGCCCCCCTCCCCAAATGGGGTGTTTGCGGCTTCTTTGCAGGGGCCATTGCCCGCTCATGCCGCTTGGCGGTGCAGGAGCGTTTGGTGCACCTTTGGAGTCCCCTTTGAGGAGGCCCAAGGTGTAGATTACAGTGAAACCTATTCCTGAATAAACAGTGCCTGGGCTCGGAATATAAAAAGGATGCAGCAGTGACATCTCCTTCCAGGTTGTGAAAGAGGAATTAAGAGAAAGAGCTTCCTGTGGGATTAATTTCATATCAAAATGTTGACAATTCTCCTGAACTGAGTACAGGCAGCACGCAAGGGACAGTCCTTACAAACAGTTCGTTTAGTAATCGCTCAAAGTTACAACGGCACTAAAAAAAAAAAAAAGTGACTTACGACTGTTTTTCACAGTGGCAACCTTTGAAGCCATCCCCATAGCCATTTGATCAAAATTCAGATGCTTGGCAACTGGTTTGCACTTATGACGGTTGCCGGGTCCCTGGGTCATGTGGTTTGCGACCTCCTGACAAGCAAAGTCAACGGGGAAGCCAGATCCACTTAACAGCCGGGTAACTAACTTACCAAGTGCAGTGATTCACTTAACAACTGTGGCAAGCAAGGTTGTAGAATGGGGCAAAACTCACTTAACAAACGTTTCTCTTAACAACAAAAAATTTGGGCTGATGATTGCGGTCAAGAGTCGAGGACTACCTGTAGAGGAATTTGGGCCTCTTCCACCCAGGTGTTTCTTTTGCTTTCCAGGAATATGATATGCTTGACTTGGCATGGGGGGAGTTCAAATGAGCAATGGAATCAAGCCTGGGCTGAATAATTTTGCCTCTAAGAAGGCATTTCCATAACAACTATAAGCCTGCATTGTTATCTTTAGAATGTGGCGGGTAAAATTCTAGTCAACCCTACTAGAGTGTTGAGAACTGAGCAAAGGTATGAGCAAGAAAGTTGATATTTGGTCCATTAAATAGGTATGCGCAGAAAATACGCTTTTGCTGCTGTACAGATTGACCCAGTTTGTTTACACTTTTATTTTAAAAATGGGTTTATGAAGAGCTATGAATTACCCATTACAATTCTCTGCTCAAATATGCTGTGTGTGTATAATACATTCTCCTGCAACTCTTTTTTTCTGCCATTGGAGGATGTTTAGCAGCATTCCTTGTTTCATTTGATTATTGTGGTCTCAGCATTGTTTTCCATACTGCTATAAGAAAAAGATAGCTAAAGCATATCTTCCCCTGCATTCAATCTTATCCATTTCATAGGAAAAAAACAAGGAGCCAATTTCTGGATTGTACTGGTACCTTTGTTTTATACTTTCATGCATCTTTATATGACTTTCTTAATGTTAAGTATTTTGTTTGTAATATTTTTACATACTACTAAATGTTCAAGAGTAACAGAAGTATCTTCATATGGGCAGCCAGAATCACTGCTTGAATCAGCATTATTTAGTGTACCAGTACTGTACCAGGGTGGTACCAGTAGCAAAATGGGGTAGTAGTCATGAGATTTTGTTTGTTACACATATTGCATTTTAGGATATAAAGGTTCTTCAAGGTGGCTTGCAAAATACGAAGAATATGGTAGGGACATTCAAAGTTAGCTATAAATAGCAGCATTTATTACAATTTTCAACTTCAGTAACCAGATCAATAAAACCCTTATTAAAACCCAGATACGCTTTTTAAGAAATGGAATTCTACAATGGTAGTTCTTAGTACTAGATTTGTTCTCTGAAATGATAGGTTATACTTGCAGCCAGGTAAGCTATGGTAGGCCTTGACAGGTTCATATAACTGCAAAAAGGTTTCCAAGTAACCTTATACCAAACTGCTTAAGACTTTCATTCTACGGTAACAGCTAGCAGTTGAATAGATACATTATACAGTATTATATGACTGAATTCATACATCATGTTAAATAATAGTTTATTGACGAAACTAATTGCTTGAAATGTGCCAAATGTTAAGCAATAAATTGTGCTATATTTTGTCAGCTACAGTGTCTGGATTAACAAAAACCCCATTTTTATCTTAAGATGTGTGAAAACAAAAATCAGCTGCATTTTTTGTGTTTTTATCTCCATAGACACCTTGACCTTGAAGATGGTGAGTAGCCAGCCAAAATACGAACTAATAAGAGAGGTTGGTCGTGGCAGCTATGGTGTGGTATATGAAGCAGTAGTAAGGAAAACCTCTGCACGTGTTGCAGTGAAGAAAATTCGGTGTCATGCTCCGGAGAACGTAGAACTAGCCTTGCGTGAGTTCTGGGCACTTAGTAGTATTAAAAGCCAACACCCAAATGTAATCCACTTGGAAGAATGCATATTGCAAAAAGACGGCATGGTTCAGAAGATGTCCCATGGTTCCAGCTCTTCGCTTTATTTACAGGTAAATGAAGTTGCAGACAATGAATGAAAGAAACATTGCATTAAAAGTTAAAAAAAAAAAAGGAACAGCTATTTGGTTTTCGAACAGTGAACTAGAGATTGCCATTCCGTATAAATACAGGAAAGCAAATATGTTTGCTTTTCTGTATTTGATGTAGTTTTAGATATCTCAAAAATCTTGCCACTAAGCAACATTAAGCTTCAGGGAAACAACAGAGTACACCTCCACGGTAGAACATTGGGTCTTCCCAGAATATTCAATTACCGTATATACTCGAGTATAAGTCGACCCGAATATAAGCCGAGGCACCTAATTTTACACAAAAAACTGGGAAAACTTATTGACTCGAGTATAAGCCGAGGGTGGGAAATGCAGCAGCTACTGGTAAATTTCAAAAATAAAAATAATTAATTTGGGAAACGATCTCACTATCATGAAAGGTTTAATTGATTCACTAACCCAAAAGAAGAAGATGATGATGACAGCGGGAGGCAGGAGTCACTCTCTTCCCCTCCCTCGGAGGCCCCCTGAGTCAGGAGTCACTACCGCCAGCGCGGCCCCAGTCCCGCCGCCTCGGGAAGGGAAAGGCAAAGCGCTTTTTGCCTTTCCCTTCCCGGCTGGGGCTGTTGGGAGTCGCTGCCGCCGGAGGCCGCGACTCCACACCATTTTTTTTTCAGAGGGGAATCTGACTCGAGTATAAGCCGAGGGGGATTTTTTCAGCACAAAAAATGGGCTGAAAAACTAGGCTTATACTCGAGTATATACAGTAATTGTCTCTGAGTGCTTGTTTAAGCAGAAATGTGGGTTATACATTGGGTAAAAAAAATTTGTAGCATTGTAAGGAAAAAATTGCTCCCCATGGAAAAGGTACATTAATAATCCTTTTAATAGCTTTTATGTGGGACCACTTAAAAAATCAACATTGTGGTAAGAAATAGCTTGATCAACTCCAATGAAATTTGTTTTGTTCTTTGAACTCAATTATATATTGAGATTAATAAGATCAAGAATAAAATGCCATTAAAATAATATATTAGTACTCTTCTTAAAATGCCATTAAAAAGCTTTAAGATTAATTGTCCTCCCCATCCAGTATGCTACAGAATTATGACAGTCTATGAAAACAAATTAGTTTTTTTTTATGCCAAGCAGATTGTCAAAAGAGCTGCTCAGCAAGATATATTTCATTAATAGAATATAGAAATACACTTGGGACATTTAAATTTAACTTTTAAAATTAAAAGCTAAAGCCTCCTGTTTTGTGGTTGTGCTATTTTATTGTTTTTTCAGGTTAGTCTGGTCACATTTAATTATACAAATAAAGAAATAATTGTGCTCAGTGGTTTATTAAATAAGTTTTATTACAAAGAGTTAAATTAACATTTGTGTTTATGCTCATAATGGTAATCTGTGATTTCTACCTCAAATTTATAGTTTGTAGTGTTTGTCATTTAACATATTATGCTAATTCATGGTTTGTTGAACAAGCTACCAGCCCATTATGTGATGTGTCAAATGCAAAAGACCAGGTCCACATATGATGGTCCAATTAACTTGACTTATTGATAAACAGTCTATGCATAGGAATGTTCTCAACTAAATCATTGGTACCTTCTTCAAATTAGATAAGTGTCCACAGAATTCAAAGGGGAGTTGGACTTAGTTCACTTGTGGTTATGTAGAGATTCTAGGCTGATCCTTCTTTTAACCCCACTCTCAGGGTTGGCCACTCCTCCTAAATCTTGTTTGTTTTAGCTTAGCATAAATTGAACATGGACAATTATGATTTATTAAGTTATAAAGATTTGGTTTACATAACAGCCATAAGCCACTTATAAGCCGTAAGGATAAATTCATATTAAGCCCAAACCAAACTAACAACATTCTGGATCAGCATAATATGTAAACATAGACTCACTTTCTGTTTTAGCCCGCATATCAGAAATGAAAGTATAGCTTGGTTTAGCTTTATAAACCACATATGAGCATTTGCAGAAGAAAATGAAATGATGAAATTCATATAATTTTTCTACTGCATCATGACATAAGCGATGTAAGAAAATCCTTATATTAAAGACCAGAAAATGTTGATCAAATGAAAAATGATATTAAATAAACATAGTTCCAAACTAAGTTCTACTTTTTTGTTTAGAAGCCAGTATTTTCCAAGATTTAGGGGGCCCTTGGACAGTCACTCATGGCTTGACTAATGTGCTTTACATTGGGATTTGAATCATGTTTGTTTAATATATACATGAAATATCTTTGTATTGTAGCTTGTAGAGACCTCCTTGAAAGGTGAAATTGCCTTTGATCCCAGAAGTGCCTACTATCTTTGGTTTGTGATGGATTTTTGTGATGGAGGTGATATGAATGAATACCTTCTATCCCGAAAGCCCAGCCGTAAGACCAACACTAGTTTTATGCTTCAGCTTAGCAGTGCTCTGGCTTTTCTGCACAAAAATCAGATCATTCACCGCGACCTCAAGCCTGACAACATCTTGATCTCTCAAAGCAGGATGGATGCTAGTGACCTGGAACCTACTTTGAAAGTAGCTGACTTTGGCCTAAGCAAGGTTTGTTCAGCATCAGGACAAAATCCCGAAGAGCCTGTGAATGTAAATAAATGTTTTCTGTCTACAGCTTGTGGCACAGACTTCTACATGGCTCCTGAAGTTTGGGAAGGTCACTACACTGCCAAAGCAGACATTTTTGCCTTGGGGATTATAATCTGGGCAATGTTAGAAAGGATCACTTTCATAGACACAGAGACAAAGAAAGAACTCTTGGGCAGTTACGTAAAACAAGGGAGTGAGATTGTACCTGTTGGAGAGGCATTGCTGGAAAATCCAAAAATGGAACTACTCATACCTGTTAAGAAAAAGAAAATGAATGCTTGCATGAAACAGCTGATTAAAGAAATGCTTGCTGCTAACCCACAAGATCGGCCAGATGCTTTTGAACTAGAACTCCGGTTAGTCAAAATTGCTTTTAAAGACAGCAGTTGGGACACGTGACTTCTGAAGTACTTTGCCTTTTTGGCAGAAATGTGTGTAACAATGGTGCAGCATTTTAAACAAGCAAAAACCAGACTAACCCACATGTTATGTGTCAGGGTTCCATGTGTTTTCCCCATTGCATTTCTCTTTATTTTTGTACGCTAAGCAAAAGGTTGCTCTTCTTGTTTCAGTATCCAAATATGTATATTCCCAAGCTACATCTGTAAAAAGCTTTCCAACTTGTCAGGAAAATTAACAAGTTAGGCAATACTTTTGCAGGAATACTTTATGGAATATTTCAAACATTCCAATTTCTTACTGTAGAATCTTGAATGCCCTTGAAGGAGAAGACTTGCATGCTGGTAATGCAAATCATCAATCAACTTTGTAGAGTAAATGTGTATATATTTATGTCACAATGGGTGATGTAACCCCTTCCAATATGGAAAAAGTATGTTCCAAATTTATAGAATTGAATGACTGTGACACATTCTTTGATGCCCCAGCCTCTGTGTCCATTCCCTTTTCTTCCCCTTAAAACAATGTGATGACACAAAATGAGGTCTACAGTATGATGCACAAGAACCTCTGATTCAAGCAATGAAGAGAAAATCTTAATTTGGAAGGTTGCATTTGTTTGGAAGGTTGTATTAAATAAGTTGATGGCTCATTCCAGTTGAGGTGCCAACACTTTGTTGTGACACATTTAGCTATGTTTTTCAAGGATAACCAAATGATCATATGATAGACCCAGAGTTACTGGTCACAGCTGTATTTTATATTTGACATTAAGTCTTATTTGAATTCAGGATTATTATTTTTAAAGGAAGATTTTTAAAAAATATCTTCAACTATGGTTCCCTCAAGATTTAGTTTGTTGTCCGGCAGAGATTTATTACCCCGCTTCCCCATGCAGTTTGGGTGAAAATTATAGAAAATTGGGCACTTTTTTCTTAACACATGTACAGAGAGTGGCATGTATAATTAGTTCAACCAGAAGCCTAAATGTTCATTCCATTACCATTGTGCCACACTGATGTGACATTACTACTATTGCCCACTGGAGTCTGTACTGCTAAAGTGAATCCCCCCCCCTTTTTTTCCCCCATCCGAAGCACTCAGCAAACTGCTTCTCTCCCAGGCTACTTGGTTTGCAGGTTGCAGCATCTTGTTCATACATACAGTTAAAAAGAATTGAAAACCTGGTACAGTAAACAAATGAAAACTCAATTTATGAGTAAATAGGTAAATTTCATGAGAGGAAATAGTGTAGTACACGTCTTCAGTGTTGTCAGAAACATTTTATTGAACAGGTTGAAACTGTCGTGATGCCGTCAGCTACAGCACAGAAACCAGAAAGTGAACTGCCCTATGTTTTTTTACAAGAAGCACTGTAGAAATTATGTTTTAAAATCCTTATTTGATATGCCTAGAATCTGAAAAGTAGATAAGAAAATATATTTGTTTATTCCTTAGCTGCTATGTCCATATTGAACAAGGGGACATTCAAGGGGATATATTTCTAAAACTTGAAAAATACTTTTTTTTGGTTCAATGTAGTTATCAGTGATGTAGTATCCTTTGCTTGCTAATAGGAAGTAGGTCTCACAGAATTCAGTGAGGTAAGATATGCATAGAATTATTACTTTAATAAGTATGCATATGATTGTTACTTTAATAGTAGATACAATTTTGGAAAAATTCAATTTTGTTTTTTTTTGCTAAAATAACAAATAAATGTCACGTTAACTCAGAGATATATTTTAAGAGAATTTCAACTAGGGTAGCATATGTCTGGCTTGCAGTGCTAAATTGTTTTAGCTGAGAATCCAGGTAATGTTCGTCCTTTAACTGAGAGGATAAGACAAGGGCTTGACTTATATACATTTAGAGTATCAATGTTTCAAAGTAAAGTTCATTCTTTAAAGCACCGTTCGTGCCTTTAGAGACAAGATTGCATTGTGGTTATCCTGTGGTTAATGACATTGTATCTCCCATCAGCTGAACAGTTACATAATATTTGTGTGAAACAAAAAGAATATGAGTGCAGGATCTTGACAGTCCTTATGTATTAGAAGAACCAGCAACTCTCAACCACATATGTCATAACTAGTCTGATTACTACATACAGTTTCTTGGCACATAACAAGTCTTTCAGATTTTTGGATATATTATGTGGTGTACTTTTTAGTGCAGTGCAGAAGCTGCAAATAGAGCAAATTATATATTGCCTAGTAACACAGTTAATGTTAAAAGTGCACTTGTTTCTTATTTTTAAAAGTTGGGGAAACTTCCCTGGTCATTTTTGTTCATGGTGCTTAGTATGTTGGCATTGAATGCCAACTTGATTGTTCCATTTATTACATACTGAATAATTGTTTCTTAAAATCTCTGTGTGTGATTTTTGTTGTTGCTTGTGTTTGGTTTGCTTTCCTGTAAAATCTTTGAAACCAATTGTAGCAGTCACAGAACAATCCACCAGCATAACATAGAATAAAAAATAACTCATCAGCACTTCAAAAGAGAAAGGAATTTCAAAACTTTCTGTTATAAATTGTAAATTTTATTTTGTTGAAAAAATTATTAAGGGGAAATTATTGTGTAATTTATTGAGTTCATGACTTTTTTAAAAAAAATAAAAATAAAAGTCCAAATTTACCCATGAATTGTAATATGATTTTTAACATTCTTATTAGCTAAATGAATTATATTTTGTTGATTTTTTCCAGGACTGTGTGGTGAAGATAGCTAGACAGCTAGATAGATAGATAGATCAACATATATTTTTTTGAGCAAGAAGTTGAGTTTGAGTAAATCTTGACATCTCTTTCATTACAGAAGCAGTTATGAAAAATGGCAATGATTCACATGGCCTATTTTAGGAGTCAATAAAAACAACATAATAGGTGGACCGTTTTGTCAATTGATCTACAGCGTGGCTTCACTCTTAATTCTCAAACATTCTTAAATACCTGTTCTTCAAGTAATGTCCTTATTCAAGCATCAACAGGCACAAAGCTTAGTCTGATTTCCTGTTCAGGTTCAGCTAGAGCAAAATAGACTCTGATAGTACTTCTCTTGGACATGCTTGGCTATAAAACATTGATGAGTAATTTTGTTCACTGTTCATTTCTGTGAAAGAAGTACACATCCTCATTTGCAACACAATTCCCAAAAATCAAGTTATATCTATGGCTTAAGAGTATATTTTAGCTGATAAAATTAGCACTCCCTGAGTGATCTGAATGGAGCTAGTACATCTCACTTTAGAAACTTGAGAGAATTTATAAATAAGTAAATTCCGTCTGTGGAACTGAAAACTAGCTTCTTGCATATCAGGTTTCAAAAATTCTTGCTTATATTGCCTCAACATATTTGCCCCTGCCCTAACGTTTGTGTGCTTATCTACACCTGTGGGAGGAGCAGCTTTGTGTAGCAGCCTGCAGAATTTCAGTGTCATATTTCCTACTTTCGATTTGTTTGTTTTCTGAGAACATTTCAAATGGTGCTCTTCCTCATTCATCAGCCAATTCTGGTTGAAACTGCAGCATAATGATAGATGGTTGGCTGGTGCGGTTAGCTACATAATTTTTTCATAAAGGAAGCTAAACAACATCTGAGGTTTCTACCCTTTGAACATTTTACAGATGAAAAGTCACACTGTTCGGTTCAAAATCCAGTTGAAGATACCTGCCCAATTCGTCTTTGTTAAACATACTGGGTTTGTGTTTTGAATGTTTTTAAAAGTGTACGTTTCTAAATATTTCTTGCCTATGCTGATAGAACACCTAGCCAACCCTGGCTGGCTGCAAAAAAACCCAAACAAGATCAGACTTGGTTAGTATTGGGGAATCAGCCAGAAAATTTCAGTTTAGCATTTAAGACTATCAAAAAATACCTAGGGTTGAAGGCTACACTAGACGGTACCATAAGAAAAATATTTTGGAAGAAGATAGACTAAACATTTCCATATTGCTACTAAAAAAACTACAAGGAGTTTTCTGAACGAGTTTAATCTATTTTAAACAGTTTCTCCAACCTGGATGGTTCGTTTTAATCGTAGTTTGTTAATTCACAATGACATAAGTCATAAACCATGTTTATAATCACAGTAACAGGGTTCAAGTTCAAACAAATAACGTTATGGCTTAAGATGGTATGTAGACAGCTTTGCAGCCTTCTGTTGAAATCTATGTTCTATTTCCTGGAGATCTTAATACATAGCTTGCTTTCCCATGCCTACTTTATAGTGCTATTGTGAGCCACAGGTTATCTTGTCACTCCTGTTTTTTTTTAAAAAAACATTTTCTCCACCAAGATAAACTGCAACATCGCAAAGCATTGAGAAATATTGGTATTCCTCTGAATTCTTCAGGCTGGACAACCTATAACCATGATGGTGAACCTCTGGCACGCATGCCAGAGGTGACATGCAGACCCCTCTCTGGGCATGCATGCCGTCACCAGCTACTTTTCTGGTTTCCGGTGCATGCATGCACACTGGCCATCTGGTCTTTGGTTTCTGGTGATCCAGCATGCACAAAGACCAGCTGGTTGGTGCATGCATGCACATCAGCCAGCTGGTCTTCAGTTTCCAGCATGACATGTGCACATGCATGCGTTTTGGTTTGGGCACTCGGTGCTGAAAAGTTTCGCCATCACTGACCTCTAAAATAAATAGACCAGTAACCTGACCAAATCAAATATTTTCTAGGCATGATAAAAAGAAATGTGAGGTCTTTGCTTTTCAAGATGGCATGTTAAGCAAGCTGGCTTAATGCAAAAACTGGAGGAGGAGGGAGGATTCAAAAGATGTTTTCATAATTTATGGGTTGAGCAATTCTGGCCAGAAATGCACAAGACACAGGATAATAGCAACTGGGAATTGTTGCAGTACCTTTTATACCCTCTAGGTGGCACGTTTCTCTAGAGTTTGTTTCAAGTTTTATTTTTCTCTGCTTGAAGATCTCAGCTGCATTCAATTCTATATTCTCACCTGAAAGACAAATGCAATAACAATAAGTGAATAATCAAAACAAGCACCATATCCCAGAATACTAAGAGGCACCTATTCTTAAATCTGACATTCATGCCATTTCCACAGAGCTCTTGTTGAGCAATCTTAACTTTCAGGAAAAAAAACAATGACTACATATTTGGCAAGCAGGAAATCCTGCACAGGCCCACTTCCTGAGAAAGGTTGAGTAAATGACTGGAGGGAAGCTACTTCCATAGAATTCCCTTTTCCAGAGTCATCCAACCCTTGGAAAGGTTTTTTGTATCGTTTCCATAATGGATGGATGGATGGATTTATGGCACCTACGATGATACAGATAGTCCTCAACTTACAGCCATAATTGGGACCAGAATTTCTATTGCTAAGGAAGTAAGTTGTTAATTGAGTCATGCCTGATTTTATGACTTTTTTTGCCACAGTTGTTAAGTGAATCATGGAATCTGGCTTCCCTCATTGACTTGACTTGTGGGAAGATAGCTGGGAAGGTTGCAAATAGCAATCATGTGACCCTGGAATACTGCAATCTATCATGAATACATGCCAGATGCCAAATGCCTGAATTTTGATCACGTGATCGTGGGCATACTACAATGGTTGTAAGCAGTGGTGGAATTCAAAATATTTTACTACTGGTTCTGTGGGCGTGGCTTGGTGGGCATGGCAGGGGAAGGATACTGCAAAATCCCCATTCCCTCCCCACCCCACTAACCTGCTTTCCAGCTCCATTCTCCTGTGCAGGGCAAACAAAGAAGACCCAGCCAATCAGCTGGGACTCAGGAGGCGGAGAATAGATGGGGGCGGGGCCAGTCAGAGGTGGGATTTGCCGGTTCTCCGAGCTACTCAAAGTTTCCACTCCTGGTTCTCCAGAACTGGTCAGAACCTGCTGAATGCCACCTCTGGTTGTAAGTACAAGGACCAGTTGCAAGTCCCTTTACCACTGTAACTTTGAACAATCACACTAAATGAATGGTTGTAAGTTAATGGGATTGTAAAGAATATGATGATAGCTGAATCTCTTTCCAACTCCCTTGCCTTTAACTCAAAGTTATATTCAAGACACAAACATAAGTTGCTACCATCAAATACAATGACCCATCAGTTTAGATTTTTTTTTTTTTAAGTATTAAACCCACTGATAGAAGACTGGGTCATTAATGGCTATATTATTTCCCTTGAATCACAAGAAACGTGTCTTAAATGACAGCTGCTCCAGATCATGGATGGAACAGGATTATTGCATCGCCCTGTTGAGGTTACCTTCCCGTAACTGACTGGTCATTGCATGCCAGAGAATGAGTTAGAATAAGCCTTAGAATAACTTGATTGTCACTTTAAATGTACACTAATCAGCATACATTAAAATGAAATTTCATTGCATATAGCTCTCAAAGGGTCACCAGCTCCAATATATACTACATAAATATGATAAATAAATAAACGAACATAATTATGCATATACCTGCATATATTATATGACACAAACAGCACATGGCGAGAAAAATGAATCTTGCGAGTTTATCAGACAGATGGCATAGGGAACAAAGCTGTTACAGAATCAGGTAGTCCTGCTAGAAATACCTCAAATGTTGGGATAGGTCAGCTGTGCTTTTATTCTATTCAAAGTTTGTTCTCTATAAGCAGCAGCATCTTTGAGCAGACTTTATTTCCGAACATTTTCCTACCTTCACACTGGAGACATGCGTATTTCTTGCTATATAATAATGCCTGGTGGGAATGAGCTGTAAGAGGGGCACAGACCATACCTTGGCTTAGCTTTACTGTCCAATTTGGAAGGCAAATCAAATGGAGAGGGAAAAAAACCAAATTCAACAGTGTTAGTTCACAACATCACTTGCTTATGGGTATGGTGCTTGGCAAGAATTCTAAGAGAAATACTACACATCATGCCATTTATCTCCAAAACTGCTGTGAAACATTGGCCGGGATAAAATTTCCTTTGTTATTATCATAAAATAAATTTGGTACCCATTTCACATTGGATTTTCCAGAGTGAAGCTATCTCTGTGCTATGACCCCTTGAATGAACCATATCACTGGGGGGGAAAGTAATTTGATGACTAAACACACTGTCCCAAATTACTAAACTTCTTTTTAAAAAAGGAAATAAAGTTTCTAGCATTAAAAATTCCAGAGGTCATCATGAAAGTTATTCTTTGATTTCAGGAATTGACAAACTCAGAACCATCCCAAAAGAAGAGTATTTAAAATAATTAATATTATGAGGCAGATACACAAGTACGTAACACAGTTAGTTTTCAACTTACGATCACAATTGAGCCTAAAATTTCCATTACTAAGGAAAACAGTTGTTAAGTGAGTGGCATGCCATTTTACACCATTTTTGGCCATAGTTGTTAAGTGAATCATGCAGTCGTTAAGCAAATCTGGCTTCCCCCATTAACTTTGCTTGTTAGAGGATACCTAGGTGGGTAAGAAAACTGTTTTAATTCAGCTTCTAAATTCTTTATAGGAAAGGCAGGAAAATATGAGGACAATTTACAGAATCCGAAGGCAAGAGGTGATATTCAGCTGGTTTTGACCAGTTCTGGAGAACCGGTAGCGGACATTTTGAGTAGTTCAGAGAACCGGCAAATCCCATCTCTGACTGGCCCCGCC